AATCAGACATGCAAAATGGCAAAGGGTCGATCGAGTACCCCCCACAATCACCAGATTTAACCCCACCTGACTTTTTCTTGTGGGGTTACTTGAAGGATGTGGTATACAGAACAAAGCCAGTAGTAATTTTAGTGGATGCTTGTTAGTCAGTTGATCTCCATTGTCAACTGTGCCATGAAGCTAATGACAGTCTTTTGCACACCTACACTAGATTCACTAATTGCCAATGCTAACATATGTAATGGTTTGGTTTATTAAAATGTCTTTATTTCATTCAATGAATGTGTGTATACATCTTTTTTGAAAATTCTGTATTTATGCACTAAATTAATTTACATTTATAATCATAAATACATTCGTTACTAGTATGTCCTACATAACCGTCATTTTAAGGAAACTACATTTGTATGCATTTGAACTCTGCACATAAAATTAAGTAGGGATGAATGGTCAATGTTCCATGGTTCAGCTTTGATTATCGTCATTCAAAAGACTATATACTTTATCTGAATGGCCGCTGTTTAAATGACATATTTTTTGCAATTTTAAAATGTTGAAGTAAAAATAAGAATAATTAATTGTACCTGTATACACTTTTTAAATGATGTTATCAAAGACGAGGAACATTGAATTCTTTCTCAAATATGAAGTACTACAACTGAAAAGAAAATACCAAAACCCAGTTAATGACACAAAATATTGGTTTGCATCAGAATGACTATACTTACTACGCACTGTACATAATCAACTGGATGCTAAAAAAAATGGATGGAGATTTCATCATTTCTATAAATTACACACTAATATATGGAAGGAAAAAGTTGGTCGCAGTAGCAGAGAAAAGAAATAAAACAGTTTCTATTGGGGTACAATTTGTCATAGGATAAACAGAACATATAGTACCACTTCTTTTCAAAAGAAATTCCTACATGCAGCGTTGGTAGGATTTAATATATTTAAGAACATATTCTCATCTTTAGAGTGAGACTAGATGTTCTTCTGCCATGAAAACCTCAAATCCTCCTTAGTGAAGAATTTGATAGTGGCCTTCTGGGTTGTGACACGAGTGTAGTCTTATACGTGGTTACCACTATAGTTCGCGACTGTAATCTTGAGACTTGCGGGTTGAGGAAGGAAGGAGAGATAGCGTCAGCCTTTAAAGCTTCGGACTTCCTGCATTCCTTGCAAGTCTGTAGATTACAGTTGTGTAATGTATATGGATACACACTCGTAACCAGCTACAATATTACACAATGTCACAATCCAGAATGCTACAAACTGATATTTATGCCTAACAAAACAGAATTCGATTACAATGCCCAAGTTCGAACAGCAAGAACATATTAAAATCACTTCAACTCACAAAAAGTATCACTGTGCTTTGTAATAAATTCAAGCATTTCATAAACAAAGCCAAGAAACGCAGTAAATTATTACAGTATTGCTGAAAAGGTGTAAGTAAATTACAAACACACAAAAATATTTGCACTGACAGTGAGATACTCCTTCAGTATCTTACACTTTAGATGTCTTACTTACAGAATGTTCGCCGGAATGATGCTTTAGAACGCGCCTGTGGTTTCTGCCATGTTTACTAAACCAACGGGATTTCAACCTTGCCTCTCATCATGATACACTCTCGTTTCATGGTCACCATTTCACAAAGGAAGCAATGGAGACTGGATGCTGATCGGGAAGCCAAGGGGAACAAATAAATATCAGGAACTATACAGGAAGATTATACATACAACAGCTCCAAATATCTAAGATCTAAGTGACCAATACCCCCCCTCCAAAATTCAAAATACATTCACAGCTATGTAAACACCCTTCTATATATATATCAATCAAATTGGGGTGTGTTATCAATAGCTACAAGCATATTGAGAGTCTTCTACGGTACGTGTTCTTCAGTGCTTCCAGCCTTAACTCCCAAATGACAAACAAAACAGCAGGAAAGATGATCTTCTAACTACACAAGTTGAGAGAGCAAAACTGTAGGTTTAGATGGGTTTGCTTAGACTATATGACGATCTCCACATCATATAGCTGAAGTGGAAGAATTAAACAAAAGAACAAAACAAATAAGCATATAACAAAAGTGAAACTGTGTACCCCAGAAATATATTTTTTCATATTGCTTTTTTTTCCCCCCACTTTTCCTCATCTGTCGTTGCTGCTGTCATCATGAAGTCTTGGATTTGTGCTTAAGGGCAAAGGTTGGAAACAATTTGCGTTTCTTTCGGCGGAGATCTTCGTCTGCTGTTGAGTTAGAGTCAGTGGAGTATGTCTCATCATCTGCTTGGGGTTGCTCTCGTGATGGCATATTAGTCAGCGAAGTTTTCTTAGTTGGAGTTACTCTTGCTAATGGAGAGCGTTGGGCGTCTAGACATGTTTCTGACTGAGACAACTGTGGTGGAGAAGCCTAAACACACATTCGGAACCGCCATTAATATGAACTGGCTACACAGTTGTTTATCGGGGTTGCTAAAAAATTTGTCAGGGAAATGAACCATTTTCAAACAATCTGTACACAGTGGCAGGGCACAAAATATATCAAAGAATATATATACATATATTATGCATGTGCACAGGGTTTGAAAGGCATGATCACTTGTCCATTTCAAGACAATTCTGTGAACTGACAAAAAAGAAACAATATTAATTCGTGTTAATGGGATATAAGCAACAATTTCCTGTTAGATAAGAAACTGTAAGAAACAAAATATCTACAATAACAAAAATCATAATTGTTTACTTTATTTCATTCATTTACTTTTTTTATTTTTAGTTCATTATGCTCAGTGAGAACTAAAGACTCTACAGACTTTTCAAAATGTCATGAATGAAATATAAACAATATTTTTTCAACAGTGGTCTTACTGTTTTGTTGTACCAGTAATATTTATGTACATAACAAATAGTAGCTGATAAAAGCAGGATTTCTGAAAAGAAAAAAAAACAATTACAAAATCTTAAAATTCTATGTAAAATGAATATTGTAATTTGCTTACCTCTCTCTCAGTAATCGACATATTTGTATCATGACTGTATGATCGGACCATTTGCTGTTGTGGGTGTTGCTGAGATTTTGGTCCATTCTCTTCTCCCCAGCTGCGAACAAAAACATACTATCAGTAGCAAGCCTGCAGTAATGCAGTCAAAAGTTACGAGTCCACATGGCGTTACAACATCTTCACTGCTGTGAGAATTGCAGTCAAAAGTTACGAGTCCACATGGAGTTACAACCCTGTAGACCAACAACAACATCTTCACTGCTGTGAGAACTTCAACCTTGCTAAAAACTAAATCTTAAAGATTAATATACTATACTTTTGTGGTTAAAAGTAAAACCATTAATTAATAAAAATAACACACCTGTCTCCAACAGTGAAATGTACATTACTGCTCAAACTGTGAGTATCCTGTGGAAAGTCATCATCCAATTCTTGTTTGCCCGTTTCGCTGCCCGATGAGTCCGCTCCTTCTTTCCAATGCAGACTCTCCAGACATCCTGAAAATATGCGTGTTCTCACTAAAATCACATCCTCTTTTCGGCATTATAAAATGCAAGTACCTTTCTATATTTTAAGAAAATACAAACCTACAATACTTTATGTATATAACTGAGCCCACTAACCACTCACTTCAAAGATCTAATAAAGCGTTTTGCCAGTGGGTGTTTTGAAGGTCCTCATGTGCGTGTTTCAAACTTAAGAGGTACATTCCAATGACATGCACTGGAAATCTGAAACCTTTCAGGCAAATGCAACACAAACACCACGCAAAAGTCACTAAAGTCAATAAATTGTCTCGATGATACAAATCAATATGGAATTCTGACATTTATATTAATACTGACTCTTTAAATTGTTCACAAACCTAATTAGACATGGTTACTTATATGTTTAATCATCAATAACTTCCTAGATTGAGCCAACTCATCCGTTCCGCTCATTTATACGTTTCTATCCTACTGGGATACTGGGAATGACCCGTTCTTCAAGTGCCTGAGCACTGCGGGTCCCAACTTTTTGATGGCTCAATCTGTAGACATTCGGTAAGACTCCTTGGACGAGGGATCGGCCCGTCACAAGGCCTCTACCTGTACACAGGACAGCACGACACAGAAAAACATCCATGACTTGAGTGAGATTCGAACCCACGGTCCCAGCGACCAAGCGGCACAAGGCCCACGCCTCAGACCGCGCGGCCACTGCGGACCCATTCTACCCTACAATCAGATAAAAAGTCTCCCCAAATTTTCAGTAATGATGTTCCTGTTCTTCTCTGTACTTCTGAAACTTCGTATCAAAGATAGACCAAGTGAGAATAGGATCGCAAAAAAGGGGCTTCTTAATTCATATTCTTCACCGAGTAGTACTAGGGTGATCAAATTAAGGAAAACAAGATGGGTAGGCCACTTAGCACATACAGGAGAGATAAGACTAAATAGAATTTAGGTTGGAAGATCTGAAGGATGACGTAGGTGTAGATGGAGCATAACATTAAAATGGATCTTGAGGAAATGGGTTTGAGGGCGTGGACAGGATTTATCTTACTTCGATCAAGACCCAGTGCTGGGGTATTGTAAAGACAATAACAAGCCTTCAGGTTTTGTAAAAGGTGGGAAACTTATTGACTAACTACATGACTGTCAGCTTCTAAAGGACTTGGCTCCATGGAAATAGCAATTTGGAGTGACTTAATTCGATGTGAAACATGTTTCTCACATGCTGATGTCGCACATCATCAACATTCTGTGATATATATCCCCATATAAAGTGTAAGCACTTGTTTCTTCCCCCCCCCCCCCAATTAATCTGTTCTAGGGATAAGTGTACAACTTATTTAACTCAGCATGAAACAATGATTATTATATAGTTTTATACACTGATATCTGTATGCTTTAAGGTAGGAAATGGGAAGAAGTTCAGATCAACTAATACATATTTAAAACAGAAACTGACTCTCCTAAATCAATTCTTTTGTTAATATTCGGCTACAAAGGTTAAATAAATCTTTTGTTAATTACATATGCCTCCAACTTAATAAATGACAACTGCCATTCTCTGCCACTCACCTGAATTTCCATTATCCAGAAACAGAACTGACTTTGAAAAGAGAATCATCTGCATAATTAACATTTCAACCACAAAAAAGAATTGGGATGACAGCAGAAAGACACAAAAGAATACAACGGTAAAAAGACTAATGGAGATATGAGACATTACCTTAGGAGATAGGACCACAATTTTCAGACATTTTGATCCCTTCTTTAGATATATCCAAAGCATAATGATTGTTTAACAATTTAAAATTATATAAATATGACGGCTCTCTTCTGAGTTGTAGCGCCATGTAGTCAGGTAGAAGTTTACTCATGGCCACAAGAACCTTAAATCCTACTTAAAATTACACGATTAAAAGGTTTCTCTGTGTACGTAAAGGTAAAGAAATATGAAGAACAACCTTAACAATACAGATGAACAAACTATGAGGTGCGTTGAACAGTAATTATGAAATATGACATACTCTGGACTCTAAGCAACACAAAATATGTATCTGTTAGTGAGTCCAAATGAAACTTTATGTACTGCATTTCACTTCCAGGGACTACAGCAATCTAGTGATAAGAAACCGAACTAATGCATTACAATCCGATCCACATGAAAGACAACGTGCAGTACAAAATTCACCAGATACTTAAAATATTTAAAAATTATGAGGAAGTGAAAGACCTTCCTCTGTCATTGCATGTCAGCAAACTTAAATGAACAAACTACCACTTACCACAGCCTAAGTATTATACTTTAAAATAATTTGTTGCCAGTAAAATTATGTGATTATATCAAATGGTAAATTTTATAATTACTGTATTCAGTCACTCTGTCCTCTACAATGACATAATACTACACAGGAAACATCCGTCTTCAAAATATCAACAGTCTTACCTCATGCATGTGTTCCAATGCTACGCCAGTGCAATTCCTAACAGATTACCAATACAAATATTTTTGCTCTCTGCATCCTAGATGATATATAGCCTAGGGCCGACCACTCTAGACAAATCACACATATTATTAAAAAAATATTATTATTTCTAAAGAAACCCATTACATACCAATATTAAATTTAGAAGCAAACGTATCGTTCAGAAAGATTCCGTTAGCCCCCAGTTCTCTTTTTCATTCTGCCGTTATTTTAAATACAAGAATAATTACTATTCAAAACTGTGTTATAAATTTTTAAAACGAGCTACCACACTAAAAATGTTAATTCTTCAGCTCAATGCTGAAAAAAAAAAACTGCATGAATACAGACACAAAATTTTGTTCAAATCTGCACAGCACTTTCCAACTGCAACAATAACTCTGAAATCAAACACAATCAAGTACTGCTACAACCAGTAGCAACCCTGATACTTGCAGTTTTAAGAAATTCAATTTTACCAGTATATTTCGGAAATATGGTTTTCAGTCACTCTTTATAAGTTGATAAAATTTTTAACATCTACATATAGAGAGACATTCCAATGCCTTCACAGTGGCTTCATAATTTGTTCATTGGTGAAAGGTAAGCGACGATGTAAGCATCTTCCCTGAAAACTGTCCAATTTCTGTAGTTGGGGCCATATTTTCAACAGTTCAAAGCCCTGCTGTCTCCAACTTCAGGCAATTAAGGGCAGAAATAAAATACTACACAGGCCTGTCAAATTAAAGCCGATAGTCAACTACAGACAACGAGAAACATACTGGGAACATATGATACAGAAATATTGTCATAAACCTTTAGAACCACAAAAAAGGGAAATCAGCTATAACTACAATTCCGAGGAACTTTACAAAAACCATCATTCAATCACACAAGCAAGCTCAAGGGCTAAAAATAGGTTGCATGCTTAAAAAGGAAAGCAAAAGCTACCATACATAAGATACGAGGAGGAGACAGGAAGAATGCAAATAAAAACAAAACACAGCAAAGCAGTGATGATCCGAAACACCAAAAAGAAAAACTGATTTTTGACTCAACAGAATTGCAGCTTTCAAGTATCATCGAATCAGTGATAGAACTGGTGTATGATCTCAATAAATCATCAAAAACAGAAAACAAGCCAGTGCATCTGCAAAGCAATTGTGTGCCGACTGTTGCCGAGTGTGCACCCAAGACAGGAAAGAAACCCGCTCCCCAAGGTTTATGGCCAGAAAGAGAAACTGTAATCATCGCAAGGATCAATGATAGTAAATTTTTGTGTGAAAATACGAAAGCAGAATTTGCTATAAATGAAACATGACTTACCACGGGCAAATCTCAACATATTATAGAAAACAAGGAAACTAAAGACATTTTATGTAATAATTTGTCCATAAATGATCCTAACTGAAACACTGCGACAATAATTCTACCGATAATCATATAAATACTTTTAACAAAATATTATGTTGCAAAGATATTCAAACTACATTCAACAGCAAGTATAACTATTGAAAACAAATTAAATCAACTATAACATGCAGCAAATGTGCTATTCATAATTACTAATCTTTCATGATACATGGGTGAACCTACAGATATAATTTTTAGCTGCAATTAATAATTACATTCAAAATTTAATGCTTGTAGAATTCTACAGATTATTCATAGCATAAATTCTGATTTACAACCACCTAATTATTGCAACAAAAACATAAACTCCATTTCCAAATACAATGTCTGCAGTTTCTGACACACTTATCCCTTTTACATATTCTTCCATCACCGTCTCCGGATCCGTGCTGCGGAACGGATCTCAAGCACCTAGCATAAAACTGAAGTACCTTAACTCCGAGACTGGACAAGTGCAAGGTCAGAGATGAAACCCAAACTTAGGTCTTAGGGGATGATAACGTCCTGCTTGGTCACGACTAACGCGCATCACAGGGTAGTGATAAATGAGTATGGAGCAATAATAGAATGATGATTAGCAGAGGGAAAGTAAAAAACTCTGAGAAGAATCTGCTCCAGTGCCACTACAAATCTAACTTTCAGTTACCCAGAACTGAACCTGGGTCTGCCTAGTGAGAAGCCAGCATGTAGCACGACCCCAACCACCTTATTCATACGCAAATTTAAATATCTACAGACCAGTATCGTGAACACCTTTCATTTTGGTGCATTCGGAAAATCTATACTCTACTGTAACGGTCAGACTGCATGAATAAAATATTAGTGTAATTCATAAAGAAACATTATAATTGCAGATCACAGTACAGAAGTAGCACCCACTTTGTTCTTGCTCATTATATGTCATAATATTAAAAAGTATGTACTGGTTAAGAAAACAGCACACATCTGCAATGAAAGTACAGGTCCTCCGTACACACCTGTTAACAACTGTATTATCATCATGTATGACGGTAATAATGAAGGACTAATATGTTAAAATCTCTTAATTTGTTCATCCTGTTTTGATAATTACTTTGACATTAAAAACCTTTCAAAGATTGTAGTTTAATTTGTCTTTTGCAGCGTGTTATAGGTATTACACTTATGCCAGAAGAGTTATTTTAAATAAAAAATAAACAAAGATGGGTTATATAAAACTGAACAGTGCAGTCTGCTTGCAATGGTGTTAATAGTATTTTATGAATAAATTTGTTTCAGTATCCCTGAAATCTTATTTCAGGCTGGTTGGCATTTATGTTGTAAACCAACATGAAACAAAAACACTAAAACTATAACATAAAAAATAATAAGTATCACATCCACTTTTCCAGTCTATAAAGAATTTGGTGGATTAAAAACAGAGCTACTGTCAACAAAGCTGAAAAGTTTGATAAATTACAAAATTCACATACCAATAAATAATTTAAATAAAATACATATGTATTGCCATTTGTGTCCCTTTCAAATTTGCAAGCAGAATGAGTAACATAATTAACAAAAACAACCCAACAGATTTAATGTGTATTTCATACACATCTGTCAAGAAAAATGAATGCAATCTTATGCTACAACAGCCATGAGATTCAAATCTCTCTGCAATTACAGTAAACTCTCATTTTCATGAACATCAGTATAACATAAATGCTGATAATAGCTTTCTTTGAATATATATCTGCAGTCAGCAAAACTATATAATACAGACTTCAGTTTAAGAAACACTACAATATATTTCTTTCTACCTATAGCTTATATACCTAAATGAGACCATAAAATAATGAAGCAGTCGGATCCGTCTCCTGACGAAGAAAAATTCTTGTATGGTTTTTCTTAATATATAATAATTTTCTAGTATCAGGCATATTATTTTCTGATTTTTTAGTTTTCTGGTTAAAGCACTGCAAATTTATTTTATACACCTATAAAGAAAACTTAAAATAACTTAATTTGAGTATTTTTCCTATGTACGAAGAAGATGACTGGCTGCCGTCTGGGTTATTGCACTGTGTAGTCTGACACACCTTTACCAACATTCCGGAGGAAGCAAGCACCTCTACAACATCAGTAAACTTCTACCAGATTACGTGGTGCAACAACCCAGAATGCAGTCATATTCACACTCGCTGCCATGAAAACCTAAAATCTCCTATCTTCCCACGTGGCGATTCAGTGGTACGTAGCTATCAATTCTCACAGATTACCCTCAACTTTATATACACCTGTAAATAAGCCCACCGGTCTGCAGAACTGCTCGTCTACATCATAATATTTTCTTTTAAACAAACTATCAGTTTAATGACCAATCACAAACAGTTTGTTACAACAAGAGTTTACTGTATACATTCTTAAATCTGCATGTAGAGTACTACATTATAAGCATCACTGAAATAGTACTTATAAGTAAATAGCATGCTCAACTATCCTATAAAGTAACTTAAAGACTGGCAAAGCCGAAGAATACACAATTAGTACAACTGACTTCTGCTCTAAGAAATATAATTAACATGCAACTACACAACAGAATGAAGGCTAATTATTAGGGCTGTGTCAATGAACTGTTACAATTAAAATTCAATTTTCCACTGGTTAATTGGCTGAACATGTGAACTGTTTAGAAAGACTACAGTATTTATTAAAACCGCGTGAAGTCAAAAAACCGTAAATAAAATTACATACAAGATGGCTTGCTAATTCAGACATCTAAGCGATACAAGAAAATGACTCATACTTTTTGGAAGGATTTCTATTCAACTGACACTTCATTAACTTGACGTTTCAAGCCATATTTGTTATTTAAACTGCATCTTCTTGAATCAATTCATACGCAGTAATAAATTCACTGAACACAGTTTGTAATTAGTCATGATCAAAATATATGCATTGTATGTATTCCATATGAAGGTCAATTATAAATAAAGTCTCTATTTACATGAGAAATGCAAAAGTGTCTAGTTGCTCTAACCACGCACACAAGATTTTCAAAATGGACACTTTTTAAGCTATGGTAGTCAGTCTCCTTTCATTACAATAGAGCATTCAGTCATTTTTATTATTTTATCTAACTTTGATATGGTACATTTCATAAATATGGGCTTTTAAACCCTCACTGTGGTGGGTCTTTAGACACTTGTACAATATTCCATTCCTGTACATTTCAAAACCATGTTCTTACGCTTACAAAAATGTATCACACTATGACTGCCATCTGTTATGATCAACCTAAACTACAGCAATATAAACTGACAATGAAGAAAGATCAATATTACAGTACGCTGTACCCTTGTGGCATTGTTCCTCCCACAACAGTACAAAGGATTAATAAACTAAACGCACACCTTAATGGAAGTGAGAAATTTTGATGCTATCTTGATATCTGCAGGATTGTGGATGTAATCTTCACGAAAAGAGCCGTTCTAATTGCAAGATGGCCCTATAAAGCGTGTAAGTATTCACACTCTACAGTAAACAAGCAAGTTCTTTCAATCTACTTTTAATAATAACCTTGTACTTTCAATGATTAAAACAAATATTATTTCAGACATAAATAATTACTTTAAATCAAGAGACTCCAAAATTGAAAGAAAAATGAAAAACACATAAATTTAACAGGAAATAATGCCAAACAAATAAGAAAGGAAAATCAAATCATGCACAATTCTGATCAGTTTTAATCAATACACAACCCCATCATAAATTTAGCTCTACAAGGCACTTACAAATTGCTACTATATTAATGGATCACTAGTTTACATATACCATAAAAATGAGTGTGTTAGTTCTCATTATTTGAAAAAAACATCCATATTTTCTGTAAATACCTTCACAATTTTAACACCATCATTTTTGTTAGACATTTTCTTACTTTTAACATCCAGAACTTCATTGAGTTTGGATTAAATGTTACAAAAATTACATATTCAGTTCTAATACATGTATAGTACACACTTATAAAAATATATGCATATATGTTGTATAATTACAAAATTTCTGTAATAAACATAAATTCTAGTTGCACGATAAAGTACCCTAGGGCCCAGTAATTAGATATGAAAGCAGCAGTTCAATTTTGAGACCCAAGATGGATATGTGTTCTATTTATATGGGCACAGTAAAAATTCTTTGTAACAAATGACTACCATACAACAAAGAACTGAAGGGTTCCAGTGAGACAGAACATTTATATACTATAAGATTTTAAACTTTTACAGTAACTGAATACAATTAATTCCTAAGAAATCAGCTGTGTCAATCAGAAATGAATTTCTAACACATCAGAGACAGTCACCGTCTCCACTAACAGGGACTGGCGTGACAATAAACATAACAATCAGCTGCGTCACTCAACGCATCGTCGTCCGACGACGAAGAAAGACACTGTCTCTGAAAGACTGGAAACACATTCCATCCAGACATGGCAGATCGCTCTATAAGATTTCACGGCACATTTATACAGGCCGTCACATTTCCAATTATACTGTAGTTTAAAAAAATTTGGTTCTCCTACATTTTATTACACGATTTATCCTTCAGGTCTACATTATTGAAACATGGAAGAAAATTTTGACATAAAAGATACGAGGAGCTATGAAACATTAAGAAAATTATCTTTATTTGTATTATTAGCAGAAATAAATTCAGTTAAAGGCGTTATATATGACTTGCAATGCTTTATTAGGTGCATATTATACACTTCAGTGTCCTCAGACCTATTATTTTTAACACTCATAATTAGGCCTCTTTATAACATGGAAGAAATTACGTTAAAGTACATACAAAGTACACAACCAATTTTTATGGCTACTAGAAGTCCATCAGGTGATGCCACTACAATAATGAACCAACCACAGTATTTTTCATATTTGAAAAGCCATAGGCTTCTGACTTGCAACATATTTTGAAATCAACTTCATGTGGCTTCAAATATAACTGCAAGTGAGAAAAAGTATCTTCTCTTTCTACAGAAGGGGAAAATTTAAATACAGGTAGGCCCCGCTTTACAACGCTTCATTTTACACTGTTTCACATTAACGCCCTTTTAAAATAATAATGGAAAAAAAACAAATATAGAAAGAAAATTTTAAATTGCAAGCATAAACACAGCACAGAAAGTGGGTACCTAGGAGGAGCTAGTGTCGGCGTCAGTCGTTTCTCCTCGTCCGCCAGTACAATACATTATAATCCTTCCGCGATTTACGCTGCTTCAGCTGAGGAGGTGAAACGTAACCCCGGCGTAAATCGGGGCCAGACAAAGTCCAAAAATCCATATATCGTGGAAGAATATAAAATGTGTCTACCACTGGTAAAGCCAGATTTTTGCAAATCCAACACGGACATACAAGTAGCCTCACTTCATAACAGAAATGATTAATTTCTTTTCACCTCTGTACACATGGTTAAAACACGTCTACTGTGAAACATTAGCCGAACAAGTAGGAATGTGGACAAATGGTGACATGAGACATGTAAGTGGCATCGCCTACAGACAAGAACTACTGCATGCTTAAAACTCAAAAGTGTCCTGTGAGTCGTCATCCACCGAGTGTGACTTACCTGCAGAAGGTGAGTAGATCGAGCTTGTGTCATCATCAAGGTCATCTTGACTGCTGCTCATACGACCTACGCAAGACAAGCAAGTGCAAACACTTCGAGAAAACCCACAAATATCCGTTCCCCATGCTTACTTGACGCCTTCTGTTCAGAACCGTGTAGTGTGGTGAGATGTTAGAAGTTAAAATTAAGTTTCTAAAATATAAAGTGAAGCTTTCGCAGTAACTGAAGCTGATGATAGACTCCCGGGTTACAAGCCGTGTCAAGTGGCCGAACGGTAAATAAACCATATCCTCTGCCAATCTCTGCTCTCATCCTCGGGGCTCTTGTAACCCAGGAGTCTTTCATCAAGTTTCTAAAAAAGATATCCGTCTTCTGGGTTATTGCGCTGTGTAGTCTGGTCGATGTTAACCAACGTTTCAGAGGTCATACTGCCTCCGTCATCAGGGCGATCGCCCTGATGACGGAGGCAGTATGACCTCTGAAACGTTGGTTAACATCGACCAGACTACACAGCGCAATAACCCAGAAGACGGATATCTTCATACTCACCGCTGTGAGAACCTCAAGTCTTACAAGTTTCTAAAAGTTAACGAAAAATTAACCAATGTTCTGACTGACGAGAAACAGACTTAGCAATTTTAAACTCTCTTCCGCATGTGAAATACATATATACATACATACATTACATGAAGCATTATATTACATCTTATGTATTTCTTTAACCCAAATGATATGTACACTGGTAAGTCAAAAACTTCAGTGTATACCAATTAACATGACAAAATGTGAACACATCTTTTCTTGAATTAACATTTGTTGTCCTAGTACCAAAAAATCATGTCTTACAGGCGAGTAGGAGGCCATGGTGATAACATGACATTATATCTGGTACAGAAGACATAAAATGCTTAAAGGTGAGAGAGAACAATGTTTGACATTTACATTAACACAATACAACGATACAAGGTTGTAAGTTTACAACACAATTTATATTCAGAACAAAATAGAACACAGCACTGCTCAATAACAGTAAACGGCTATTTGGAAATTACCTATGAAGACGTTCTTTAAACATCCTTACTCTTTCTTTATTTTTACTGAGTGAAATGAGATGAAGTTTGTGGGAGTAAAAAAAAAAAAATAGTCACAGCACACAACACAACCATGTCCAGACTGGTTGAAGAAAAATCATCACGAGAAATAGCGGGATTGGAATGCGTCACAATTCCGTAGCTCATCCAAGCCAATTCAAAACATTCGTCACTCCGACATACACATAAATAAAGATGGAACTCACCTCTCATAGTTCCTCTCCCATTTGCTGTCCCTCTATACAAGACAGATTCCAAATATTGCAAGCCACTGTTGTTGATAATGTTGAAACCACATAATAATTCTATTTGTTTCCAGCGATGTACTCTCTCCTGGAGCTCCTGGGTAACTTCATTCAACGAAGTCCTGGACAATCACACAAGTAATTATTTGAATGAAGCCTTCCTATTTTATAAATCATTTCAGGTTTAGGCACAGTGTAGACTCACTGGTAGATGCCAATATTTCAGAGAAACATACTGTCTGCATCATGTCAAAACCCAGAAAAACAGCATCATCATTCTCACCACTGCGGAAACTTCAAATCTAAAGTTCTCTTCCTTTTTAAATAAAAAAAAAAAAAAATACATCTGATAAATTACTTGTGTGTTAACGGCACACACATAACTCAAGAAAATACTTCTATAATACTGGGGATACTTCGACGACCCGTTCTTCAAGTGCCTGAGCACTGCGGATCCCAACTTTTTCGTTGGCTTGATCTATAGACAGTTGGTAGGACTCCTTGGACGAGGGATCGGCCCGTCGCAAGGCCTCTACATGTACGCAGGAAAGAACGACACAGAAAGACGCGGACAGACATCCATGGCTTGAGTGGGATTCGAACCCACGGTCCCAGTGACCAAGCGGCACAAGGTCCACGTATCAGACTGCGCGGCCACTGCGGACCCCACTCCTATAATACTGTTACCAAAACTTTAATTTCACTAGAATAAAATTTCACGTAAGTACTGACTGAATTGGAATGATATTCATTTTGCAGTGGCTCTAGGCAAAACTTATGTTTCTGTCTGATTTGGTCAATCCTTACCTTGCTTCAACTATGCTTCTATCCACATCATCTATTGACTTCCCGTGCGTAGATACAAACGCGCCAACTAGACTCGACCTTTTCTTCCTAAGCTTTTCACACTGTTAGCAATAAGAACCAAAACACATTTCAGTAATTGGAGCGCTCAAGTAACATTAAAATATCCTTCAACAACTGAAACTAATTCTACATTCAATGTCTCCAGATAACTGTTAATTGTTCCACCTTCACGGTACAGTGAGGGTTGGTAAAAATTTAACATGTCACATTTATGAATTATGTGGACAGACAATTTTCATAAACTATACGTAAAGAATGCAACCAAACTTTAAATCAAAAACTTCTGGAGGGAAGTGCGTGAATTATGCGACAAAGTAAAGCACATCATTCGATCTATTCCTATCCTAACATTTTTACATGCAGTACTTTCTGAAAATCAACAGATGTACCGCTTCACGAGCCTGCTGCAGCTGTTTCTCCGCTGAATTTTTTTTCTTGATATATGCCTTGTTCTCAACTTCATGTGTGAGTTGAAGCCACTGCTGAAGCCCAACTGGCGGAGACCAACAGCGATCTTCCAGTTCTCCTTCTGCCCTTTGCAATTCACCACGCAGCATCTGACATCAATATGCACACATTAGTTTACCAATACTGTCACAGCAACACGATATAAACAATGTTGGTACCATGTTTCTGCGACTGAATGTCACAGTCAAGTTGCTAGCACTCCTGGTTCACATCTTGGAAATCCTGGGTTCAAATCTCAGCCCACAGACTAGATATACTGACTGAGGTTTTCCCCCGTCCCTCTAAGAACGTCCGAAATTCCATTAGAACATAAACACGATTGATGATACATGCCTCTATTTCAGCTTTGAGTTGGGAGACTTCGAGGTCCGAATACGAGGTGTGGAGATCAGTTTGGTCACTCCCCTGCTGCTGCAGCTGCCTCTCCAAGTTCTGCTTTTCTGACGTTACACATGCCTGTTCCAATCTAGCTCGCTCCAGCTCTTTCTGGAACAAAATCAACAGAATATTTAATACCCAAGCTAACTTCATTTACAGTAGCAGTCTAAAAAGCCATCTTAAAATAAAATTATACCTCAATCACGCTAAACCCTCTGTAATAACATCACAAATTTTTAGCTTGAAGAATTTCACAAACCGTTTCCTTCACCCGCCATCAAAAACACCGGCAATAAAGGATAATACTTCTTACTTGTAACTGGTCTAGGGCTAGTTCTGCTTTGTGAAGACTTTCCATGTCCTTCATCATACGCCGTAGATGCCGGCGTGAATTCTTGTTTTGCCGATACGCATACCAGCAACCAATGAGTGCACCCAGGAGTAAAGTAACCAGAACCAGATCTTTCATGTGATGACTATAATCTGAAAGGATTAGTTTAAGACTGCATAAAAACGATTTATAATACGAGCCATACACCCTAGCATGTAGCGATATCCCCTTTTTCTTTCACTCTCTGAACCATTTACAAACCGCACTTTTGACTTTCAAACAAATAAAACACATGTACACATCTTAGGCTGAGATTCTACTGTGGCATCTTCCGGGACTGTGACACAAGACCAGCGCAGTCACATGCATAGCTTTGCCTCGACATTTAACGCAACTCATCTGCTTCAATTCGCTATTACATTTGTGGAGAAAGCAATGAGTAAAAAGTCTAACGTTCATCAAATCTGTGTACACGTGTGATCTTTATTTCATTTCTCACCTATTTTACATTTATTTTACCACGTTTTCCTTTTCCACTGACCTTACCTTTCGGTGGTCCAAATAGCACAATATCCATAGCCTTTAGGGCTATTTTCTGCTTATGAATTGGATCTTTGATGCCAAGGATATTGTTCAAATAGTGCATGTTGTTCACTGCGAGCCTAGAACAAATACACTGTGTAATATTTCCAGCCCTTAGCATGAAACTTCCATAATATTTCATTTACAGACCAGACTAAAATCACAAAGTTTGCAGATCATCAATGCCCGAAGAAACATAATGCAATCCCACTGACTTTATAATATAATTGCTCAGGCTACATCACGCGCACCTATATCACGAGATTCGGCCTTCAAAGACGCGACAGTCAAAAACGAGAGCTGTCAAAGTTAAAACACATTTTATCATTTTATAACCTCAATGACAATTTTTTAGGTTGCAGTGCAAATGAAGTTCATATTCATGGAAAACCAAATATATTTAAACGGTTCTGTGGAACTATAAAACTCACAATACTATGAGAAACACAAAAGCAAACCTTATTTAATTCTACACAGTAACAGCCATACCTAGGCTTTATCTTCTTCTTTTTCCGGTTTAACAATGTTTATAAATTTTCCGGTACCCTTTTACGGGTCCCCAACTTTTTTTAGTTGGCTTGATCTGTGGACATTCGGTAGGACTCCTTGGACGAGGGATCGGCTTTATATAAACCCAAATGTCAGGCATGAATGAAAGAATAAATGAGAACAGTAATGGCAGAAAATGATTTCCTCAAAGCAAAGCAGTTGCGGGATACAGAATGACAGACCACAGAAGAACTGACAATAATAAATACGAACACATCAAAAGAAACAGAGGAAGATGTGTAAAGAATATCTGAAAACTGGATCGGCTCTATAAATTTTAACTTAAAGGTAGAAGATGCCTGACAAAATGATGGACAAAACAGTTTTAATCCTTTTACTGGAACAGGACAAAAGGTTAAGTCGCGGCGGTGATGATGATGATGATGACGGCAACTGATTTTCAAACTGATATGACAGTAAAGATAACCTTGGTAGTGTTGCTCCAGTCACTTGATGCTGAATAAAACTTGGAATGTACTGTGGCAATTCGACATTTGTAGCCAACCATTCTGAGGTCTGCTCAACAGTCCAATTGTGAACCTGAAAGTAAGTAAAATACGACAATCTTAAAACTAACTGAATTAATTTCCCAGATGCCACTGATGATGACCTCTTGAGGTTGAAACGCGTATGGCAATAGTGTCTTTTTATAGTGTTAATAGTTGTTTGTTTACTTATTTTATATTAAAATACGACAGTTACATGTCAATCGCACATAACTGTCCAACCAGGAAACAGATGTGAAACATTTTCAAACTTATGTCTACATAGTGCCAATATGAATCCAAAGGTGCACCATTATACTAATCCACTTACGAGAAACATACAACGTGATTATACTCTACTCAACGTCGTAAGAATTGAGATTCTCACATTGATTAGTAAGAAGACAGCTGTCTTCTGGGATGTCACACCATGCAGTCTGCTAGATAATTTCAGAAGAGCTTAAAGTCTCAATCATCAGGGTAGCTCATTATCCTGATGATGGAGGTAGTAAGCTCCTCTGAAACATCAGTCGATATCTACTAGAGCACATGGTACAATATACCACAATATGCAAAATTCTGACACTAAGAATCACCGAAACTTTAATGACACTGCAATTTCCCTGGGCTACTATTATTAATATTTGCTAGTAATTACAGCACTATGTATGAGTTATGTGATTTATTAAGCACCAATAGCACAGAACTCACCAACCACAGTTACCTACAATATTAATTATATCTTATTTTGAAGCAATGAGTTAGCAGAATTCAAACTGAATAAAGACGCTGAACAAATAACATTACATAATCAAGTTTTTTTTAGAAGGGTCCATGATTATAAATGTAAACAGAGTTAATTCAATCATATGGTTCTGATGGTGGTCTGTATGGACGCTAATATACGTCCTGTAACAACACAAAGAACCATATTCTTCATCCAGTTCTGAAACACTATCACCTCACCTCATGTTGAATACTAATAACTATGTGAGGTTGTTATGCAACAAACGGCGAGACTTTTACGGGTCGTTACTTCATTATGCAAGAGCCACGAATTCCCAGCAAAAATAATAGCAATGCCAAAGTCAAAGACGTGACATAAGACGAAGAAAAGAGTTGGTCATACGAAATTAAAATCAAGTTTATTCAGTGGTATGTAAATAAACACATTTCAAGACTATCAATGTGTTAAGGTTGGTATACTGTAACACTAAAACACAATAATAATAGTAATGATCAGAGCGGAGAGGAAAAAGGAATATTCTTTTTAAGTTTCTCACTCTCATATATGTCTGAATATGCCTACAGTAGCTTGCTCCAAGAGGAAACTAAAATATTGTATGTGACTAAAGCCATATTAATTCCTTTCATATTTTAAAATTTACTACCATCTGTCTTGAAATACTCAAAACAGAATAACTATACACAATACTCAGAAGGATAATAACTTGTAATTTATCTATTTTCAATGGTTCAGTGCAATATCTCAGTAAATTTTTCCCTCTGTCAATAACCAACATTACAACTACAAACAATTTCTGTATATTTTTATGTATCAAACAGATACATACACCATATTTTTTATCATTTTTTCTGTCTGAGTTACTATTCAGTGGATGTAAAGGGCAAGATTCAAAGAAATTTCATCCAGGATTTGAATCTATGCAAGTTTTGAAGGATTTTAAAATTTTGTATATTTAATCATTACCTACAACCTTTGTTAGAAATATAATTTTTTTTTCTGGGTGACTGAAACTTAAATCGTAAATGGGTAAGAAAATTTAGTGATACTACCCCATGTCAATTTAAAAAAAAATAACAGAACTTAAAACTTCTATAGATTCAATGCATATAGGTCACTTTCACAAATAGTGTGAAATACAATTTACAAAATCAAATTCTCTTTAATTTCTGTTTACAGAGTTTATGACCTATTAGCAGCTCAAAGACAGATGTAGATAATGTTCAAAACACAAATCAGTTTAATAAAAAACAGAATTCATAATACTTCTACAAAAATCATTACTGATCTATCTTCTGGAGTATAAATACTTGCTTTAAATAAATATCTTATATTTGTGTAAATGATTCAATGGATGGGACATATTATTGTGTAGCAGACACGTGTACATGAACCGTGTCACAAGAGCCAGCTGTACACTGCCTTTTAAATACCATGCTATGTCACTAAACCATCAATTAATATGTCCCTGCTGTGACATGCCAGTTTTAATGAACCTAAATTGAGATTTGTGCAGAGAGACATGTACTCGCATTGACTTTAACATGATAAAGACTGATGCACACGCACGTCAAATGTGCACGGAGAACTTGAGGATGAACCAAAGACATTTAATCAATTTGAAAATGCCTACATTTTACTGAACAGATTCTAATCAACCACAAAAGTGTCTTTCCCAAAAGTACAGTCAGATAAGAAAACAGAAGATAAACCAATTTGTGGTTTATTTAATACTGCTGAAGTAGCTCAGACTATACAGTACCAAACGATAAGAAGGCTAATGAACCGTAAAAAATATTGAAGGAAGCAATCAAGGCCTAAGAATACAAATTATAATACTCTCAGCATGTATTTTTCTCAATTCCCTTGTTAATCTTCCTTAGCTCCAAATATTCCTACCAGAATATTTTTTAATCTGGTCCCAACAAACCTTTAAACAAAAACAATCTTTACAAAATAAACTCTCAGTATATAAATTACTTACATACCCAAATGCACATGCTAGTACATGACAAAAATAAACTCTCAGTATATAAATTACTTTCATACCCAAGTGCACATGCTAGTACATGACAGCCAATCACTGTAATTTTTCTACCTTCAATATATTCTTTATTCGTGCCTTATTATTTAATGCCACGTTCAATAGGTGATGGGATAATTTTAGTTACTATCCTGGCTTGTGCCTGGACGGACTGAGGAAAACCATGAAAAATTCAGTGTGGGATAGGTATTCTCCAAGTCAAGACTTGAACCAAGGGCCTGCTAACTACAAAGCATGTTAAAAGTTATTCTATACCTGAAACTGAAAAAATACCTTAATCAACAGCATTACTATAAATAAATAAAAGACTGTACAGAGAAAAGTCACATAAACTACAGAGACCTTCAGAATTAAAATACCTCTGATCGTATCCAGGCCTCCCACAGCTCCCGAACTGAGATGTGCATGTCATCGTTACGATGGAAGGCTCTCTGTCTCCTCTCAAACCCTTCTTCAAATTTGAGTTCCTCTCGCAGGAACTTGACAAAGAACAATACCATTTCAGTACAACACACTAAACTTACTTAGGATACTCAGGCGACCCATTCTTCAATGCCTCAAGCATCTGCGGGTCCCAACTTTCATTGGCCTCGATCTATTAGACAGTTGGTAGGACTCCTCGGACGAGTGATCAGCCCGTCGCAAGGCCTCTACCTGTACGCAGGACAGCACAACACAGAAAGACGCAGACAAACATCTGTGCCTCGAGTGGGATTCAAACCCACAGTCCCAGTGACCAAGCGGTACAAGGCCCACGCCTCAGACCACTAAACACAATGGTAAATCTCTAAAATATATGATATACAGGTGCTGCTTCAACATTGCTACTAAAAATATGAACAATCTATATCACTATAACATTTATGAGGCAAATGTTTCTATTAGACTGAGGTGTAGATGCGAGGAAAATACTGAGATAAATCTTAAGCAAATAAGGTGCGGAATTAATTCAACTGGCTCAGGACAGGGACCAGTGGTGATCTCTTGTAAACACATAATGAATCTTTGGGTGCCATAAAGGCAAAGAATAACCACTGGCTTCTCAAGAAGGACTCTGTTCCATGCAGGTAGTTAACGTTCAAAACTCATTTGCTACATTAATATTTTATTATGTCCAGAATGTGATATTACCTATCACAATCACATTTTTCAACAATTTGAGCATGTATATTTACATTAATTATCATATGAATCACACTGTAAATGTTAATATCTCTTACAATGAAACTGTTTAAATAACAAGAACTTTCAAAGAAGCAGTCTGAAGTACACAGCTGTGTACACTTCAAGGGTGAATGGGAATGCAGAACTGAAGCACATGAAGTAGACAGCATAAATGCCCTCGACTAATGGGTAATTATGCAAAGAAGATATGCAGAGAGAGACAGACAGAAGCAGAGCACTTACTTGCATAACATGCTTAGAAAGTAACAACTTAGTATAACACAAAGTAATGTATTACAGAAACAAAGTTCCTTTAAGCACATGTACTCAGATCAGTACTCAGTTATTTAATTCGTATTGTTTCATATTCTTAAATCTCACAATTTTGTTACAAGCCTTACATAATCAATATATGTTTTATGTTTATCTGGGAGACAGTGGAATATAATGATCTCTACTTTATGATGCCCCTTAGCCAGCCCAAGACTACCCGGGGGGGGATACTGTGGAAAGCAAAACAATGGGCTCCAAGAGACGAGGTAGTGGTCGAGTATCTATACATCCAATAGAAAACATTAGCCACTTTGGGAATGAATATCTCAGAATATTTCAAAAATTTTTTAGTAATGTCATATGCATCGGACGGCTATTTTCCAACCAATCACAGATCAAAAACAACTGATGCCAGCTACCCATCCAATCTGCAGTCAAACAGGAGACAGCACTACCACTAATTACCAATTAGACATTAAGACTAATGATTAATTCATCTAAAATATTAGTGTCGACGCACATGCCAACCTCATGACCAGTCACTATGCAACATGTTCTTTGGTTGTTGTCTCTTACCTTCTAAACTTTAGTTAGACGTCTCATGTATATCTGTGAAATATAATAGTTAAAATCCTTGTGTGGTTATGTGGCCAAATCAAAATGGTAACCATCCAGTTTTAAAAGTAATCTTCCTGGAAACAGAAACCTATCACTGGCACCAATAGTGGCTTAACCTACCTTTAAACTTCATCCTTAAGAGCCACTTTTGTATTATCCTTCCAACTCCTCAGTCTTCCAAAAAATGTTAAGGCAAAAATAAATAAATATGATTTCACCTGAAGTACAATTCTGGATGTGTGACTAGTCACATTACTTAAAAAAACTCTTGCGGTTAGTGTGACTGCCTACTTTCCTGTCACAGTAAAAAACTTATAAATTCAAAATAACTAATGGCAATGATGTGTAAGGAATCACAAAACCTTTGCATTGGTAATTCAAGACTGTAGGAAATACACTGCTATACTGTTCCACAGCAGAACATCTTAAACCAGCTTAATGCAGTTTCATAGGGAGAAGAAAAAGAAAGTGGGAAAAAAGCCATTAACATGACAAGTGTGTGGATTTATCAACTTCCTCTCGTGTTTTCACATAAATTTAATGTTACGTATTTTATTTCTGTTTCAATTTTTGAATGAATATATGGATGCACTGATAAAACTTTAATAAGTACACAGAAACAGGTGAATGCAACACAAACCAGATTAGTTCTTTCTCTGCATTACAGCCTACCAGCACCACTACTTTGTACTGATAAGAACATGATGGTAATAAGCATGCAAACAAACAAAAAATCCACATTCCTTTACCTCATCTGTTTCTGACAGATCGACATTGCCATTTGCATCATCATCCAGTTGCCGGTGGAGGGACTTTATAGCTTCTAAACCAATTCGATCTTGTGAGGTTTGCGCCAAGCAAGCATCATCATTGCAACCATCTCCAATACCTTGTAATGAAGAACAGGTGATGCTACACAGATGATGCATAGCACAGACAAATGTTGCACTAATTACTTATAATTAACGTAATCCCACAAAACACATACTTCTGTACAAGGTAGCAATTAAACTTAAATTAGAATGGCAACCTTCCTTTACCTGTCTCAAAATGACCTGATGATTGTGATATATCTCCCAGGTTTGACTGAGAAGCTGACCTGGACATAACATTACTACTAGAATAAGTGGGTCTAACAGTCTTCTCTTGCTGGAATTCCTGAGATTTTCCCGTGTCACTATTCCCAGTACACCAGTAAGTTCCGAGAAGGGATAAAATTATAACAGTCTTTAAAATTGTGTGCATTGTACCAGCAACAGCACGTTGTAAAAAAAATCTTTTTTTTATAATATTCACTAACGAAGAATAGCACGCCGTTGATGTAAATTCATTCCTCTTCTTTGGCACTGAAGAAA